CGTTTCCCGTTTCCCGTTTCCCGTTTCCCGTTTCCCGTTTCCCGTTTCCCGTTTCCCATCTTAAAGATAACCCAAGTTATCAATTCACTTCTTACCTTTAAGAAAGACTTGTTTGTTTTGAAGGCCACGTAAGAATAATCGCCATAAATCCTTGCCTTCAATAAGAAAAAGGTAAAATTCTACATCAATTGCAACAAAGAGTTATTTGAATGTTACAACAGTGCTTTTTATACATGAGATAAGGAAGTATAGTTAAAGTACAGACCTTATCATAAGATACAGTTGCAATCCTTACATACACTCTGTATGGTGTCTCTGGTTGAAGCGGCTCATTAGTAAACCCATCATTTCCGTGGGTAAAACTGGGGTCACCAATGGTAAAGTTGTTCTTGAGTAGATATGAACTATCTATTTCAGCGGTAATGTAAGAATCGCTTTTGATGTTAGCACTTGTAGTGTAATTTACTATCTTAAATACGAAGGGCTTTTGTTGAGTATTAAAGGATTGGAGACGCTCTTCATATGGCCTCCTTTCAACAGCAATTTGATAGATGCTACAAACAAACAAACAAAAAAAGATTAACTATACCTATTTTTGTCAAATATGATGTTGAGTGTATAAGATGGTTTTTGTTTTGATACAAACGCTTTTAAGCCTAAAATGGATCCAACGTCCTGAAAGTGGATTTTGACAGTTGATTCAGTAATATCATCGTTCCCGAGGATTTGGAAGTGAGGAGCATCAGCTGCAAAATGAAAACACTCCATCAGTTCAGTATCAGTTTCATTCCACTATGTATCAAAATTAATTAATTGATCAGCGGGGAGGAATAGATATAAGAAAGAGAGCATAAATCAGAGAGGGAAACTTCTTAATATCGGGCGCGTCCTGTAAATTCCCCGGTTATTTTTAGTAACCGCGGATGCAGTTTAAATTTCGCCTTACCCTACTCCTGTGCGTCATCAGCTTGCGCGCGGCGCTATTTCCGTTTCGGTTTTTAGAGATCAGTAAACAATAAACGGAAAAACGCGCGGGCGCAAGTTGATGACGCACGGGAGTAGGGTAAGGCGAAATTTAAACTGCATCCGCAGTTGCTAAAAATAACCGGGGAATTAGAAAACGTCGGAAAAATTTAAGACCAAGAACAACAGCAATAACTATTATTTATGTAGTCAAAGATGGATCACAAAGTAATCTTCAAGAATTCAGGTGTTTTTGGCGAAACTTCATATGGTTTTACTTTCTAGAAAAGGCAGTTTCGATGGCCTCGGATCGGTGAATAATAAAATGACTTTTTCAATATTTCCATACAGATAAGCTTAGTTTGTTTTAAAGTTAAATGAAAATTGAAAAGGAATCACACATTAGCCCAGATATCAGCCATTCATTTAGCTTTTCCTGTGAGTACAATTACATAAAATGAAAACTTTTGTCGTTAGAAGATCTCGTATTTACATAAACCGTCTTTCACTCGCTGAAAAATATATTCAAAGACGTTCACGCAAAGAGCATACTGACAAAGAAAATTATCATTTTGATTTATTATATCTGTCTCTTGCACTCGTGAAGTTAAACTGAATGTAGGCAGGGCCGTAGCCAGGGGGAGCACAGGGTGCACGTGCACCCCCCTCTCATAAAAGCTTAAGGTCCGCTCATCTATCTCCTTTTGCTTTAAAATTGCATGTAAATGTTTTTTGATTAAATGAAGACCACTTTCCATCTGCATATTGTAGCATTTTTAAGAATCAGTCACCTATTATCCCCCTTTTCTGATTCTGCTATATTTTTTTTGGTTACCTTTTTTTTTGGTTCTGCAAATCATTGCCTGTGCACCTCTCCTGCAAGATCCCTGGTTACGCCCCTGGTAGGTTTGTATTTTACGAAAGTTTTTGCCTGGTTCTTGCTTTGCATGCACGACAGCCGTTAAACAGTCATGAAAAGCCGTCCTTTTTCCGACTTCAAAAAATACTTTTACATACCGTACCATTTGCTTAAGGAAATCCTTTCTTCTACACAGGAAATTATTATTTATTATTGTTCTTCGAATTGAATAAGTTTTCTGGTATTTTGAAGGCTTGAAATATCGCTTTTTCTCCAGTTTTCCTACTGCAAACACGCCAAAAAAAAAAGCTGGTCACGCTGTTTCGTAACACCGCGTCACGCTTGTCACGCTTTCAGCACCCAATTTATCCTCAAAAAAATAATTTAAAAAATCATAACTTTTTAAAACGCGTGGGTACAACCCGGTTTTTTCGTCCAAAACGATCTTTTATAATAGAATTTTTACCCCCAAAAAACGGTTTTGGATGCAGAACTATATTTTACACTTTTGAAGGCAAAATTTGGTTTAAAAAATGGTTAGGCACCATCCTTATGCTCACCAAAATAAGATAAGGACCTTAAGGAATCAAACACAAACACTGGCACGATTAAGTTGTGTATATAATAGTGATATTACCTTTCTTGCAAGTAACTCTAAGCATGTTGTCATCATTACAAGTTGCTTCTCCCCATCTTGGATAGCAATCTTCAATGGATTTTTCAGTTCCTTTGCATTGCATGTTTCCAAGCCAAGAGATAAGACCACTTGTTTTGGACGTTGAACCATACACACCAAAATCGACATACCCGAGCATGCGACATATGACCCGAGCATTTTGCTGACTGTTACCGTCATTGCATATTGTACCCCATTTATCACCATATGATACCTCTACACGTCCTTCCTTTGCTAAGCGCAGTTTCATTTCTGACCGTACACCTTGAAACACAAAGGAAATATTTTAATCAAATATTTCACGTGCCTACCTTACAAATGGTTCTATATTCATTACCTGTATTTGGTTTACACATAACACCTGCGATGAAGTTTCCTGGACAAGTCGAAGATTGAACACGGAAACACTCGCCTAATACAGTTTCAATACCACGACATTCAAATCCTGTAAGGAATGGCTTCTTTGGATCAATTGGGTATTTTCTAATTGCTGCCATTGCGCCGTATCTAAAATTGTTCATCCTGCAGATCACATCGGCATCTCTTATGTCCCATCTGTCATCACCACAAACAGCATAGTCTTTAGTTTTGTATCGTATTTCCACTTGTCCAAGTCCTGTATTCTGTACAGATCCTATTGTCGCTGTCATTTCATTGTAAAAGTCTGTTTGTAAATGGATATAAGAAAGATTAGATCTCAATTTACATTTAAGGATATGCAATCAAGAAACTATCGATATTTTTATTTACCATACACTTTGGTGCATCCAACTGCAGCTAATATGAATTGTTTAGCACCAGAGATACCCCATTCAAAACCACAATCTTCTATTGAATTCTCGCTTCCTCGGCAATCAAGATTATCTATCAAAATGGGAAGTTTTTCGTCGTTTATAACACTTCCTGCTATTGATGCTTTTGCTGAGTTGTTGCTCCAGCACGCAACATTAGCGTCAGCCAGATTCCAGTTGTTTGCAGACACAGCTCCCCAAACACCATAGTACTGGACTTCAACTTTACTTAGGATTGTCCCTGGTACTTTAACCAATCTCATACCAAAATTTGGGTCGTTACCTGTTGCGATAAAACAAAAGAAATCAATACCTTGAGACATAAAAGACGAATCACAGTATTCATAGTTCATTAGTTACCTTTGCTATGTCCCAAAAGCTCAACAAATTAGTTAGCATTACAATGGCCGAGGAGGGCCACTTCCAAGTTCCGACTTCCGCGACTTCCGACTTTTGTGTTCCGAGTATGCGTTGTGGGGAGGGGAGCAAAAGTAAAGGAAATGATCGACTGATATTTAGCTTATTTTAAAAATTCATTTTTCGTAACCAACGTTTTACAGTTCGAAGCCCCACCGTAACACCGTGAACAGCAGCTAGAAAGCCCAATATCTCGTGGTTTGAATAACCTTGAAGGAAGTAAGCTCGAATTAGTTATTTAACCCAGCATCTTGCGTAGCTGGTGTGTAAGCTGGTAACACACATGAGATAGGTTTCATTCAAAAGAACCACACGAGTACAACTAGCTTCATCGTTAAATAAATCCTTACTGGTTTAAAACACAGAAAGAGTAAGAAAAGCGACTAGGTACGAGTCGAAACTCAGAAGTCGGAACTTGGAAGTCGGAAGTCGGAAGTCGGAAGTCGGAAGTCGGAAGTCGGAAGT